TAAATTTTTTATTTTCCTTGACGTTTTCCAATTCAAGACTACTATTTTTTTTCCTTGACGTTTTCAATTCAAAACTACTATTTAAATTCAAACGATGATATTTTTTATTATCTTGTCTTAGGCAATGTGAGTTGATCAAAGTCAACTATTGTTGTTATATGTGATATTGTTGCTGAAAAAACATGCACTTAGTCATAATAGTAGCATATTGTTGTTTCTAAAATTATAAACGAAAGATTAATATTTTCAATGACAATAGTGATCATAATAAACTCAATTCGCCTACAACTAATGTTATATGTATAATTATCAAATGTCTAATAAGTGACATTATTGTAAATAAATTGTCATTCGTTTAAATTATAATTCATTAATATATTTAATATCATACCGCGCAACGCGCGGGTGGCGTACTAGTTTGGAATAAAGTAGATTGGGTAGGAGTTTGAATTTGTATTTAAATAATATTTAAAATGTAAAGATTAAATTTGATGTGATGTAAAAGAATGAGAGAATTTATTGGAAATTATATGTAGTTAAAATATATGAGTGAATGAATAGTGAATTAAAATTAATGTGAAGTGTGGGGATGATTTGATTTATATGATTTACTTAGATTGATTATAATGAGGCGAGTTGAGTTGAATTAAACATGATTTATTTTAAACTAAGAAGTGTTGAAAAATTATACAACCGTTCAAAATCGAATATAATTAGTGATCTTACATTAATGACACATAATTGTTCCTTATCATAATATAGAATTTTCTATAATAATCTACTACTAGAAAATTATTATATTTTAACAAAAAATTCCAGCAATAATATATCCCCAAAAATCCAATGAAATTTCAATAAATATTAAAACAATAGTTGGAGCTCTGATTTTTCAATTGAATTAATATGTAAGATTCCATCGACAATTTTTTTCAGTAGTCAAAATTATTAAAGGAAAATTCACTTCGAATGAAAATTAATTAACTGAAAATTCCTACAATAATAGTCCATTAAAAAAAAAATCAAATAAAATAAACTGTAATTGAAATATCCATTAATTAATATTATATGTACCCAAAATTAAAAAAAAAAAAATTAAAAAAAAAAAGAAGCAAAAATCAGCCAAGATGAACCAAATCTCCCAAATTCTTATTCACTATCCTTCCAAGTCAACACAAGTATTGTATCTTGTTCTTGTCCTCTCTGAGGACACACATTCTTCCACTGCCTTTCTCTTATTACCATTTGCAGGCTGATGATCATCATCTCTTTGTTGTTTCCCAATTAATTTCCTCATCAAGTGTGGCTTCAGTTTGTTCACATCTGATAGCTGAACTGGTTTGAGGAAAAACTCCTCTGCACCTTCCTCCAAACAGCTACTAATCCTCGACGGCACATTCTCGGACGACATTATCACGACCGGGACGTCCTTAAACGATCTCGATTCCTGATAACGTAACCGATTACATCGACTCGATAAGCGATTACATAAAAGAAACTCCCAAGGAAATGAAAAGTATTCGTTTTTGAAGAATGTTTAAGTTACCTTAATTTTTCGAAGCAGGTCGTAACCGGTGATCCCGGGCATACAATAATCTGTGATGATCATGTTCACTTTCACTTCCTGATATTTTAAAACAAAGTTTGAATTAAATTAAATTATATAGACAAAAAAAGGAAGAAAAAAATTAATATAATGAAGCAATAAAGTAATTACATGATGATTTGGAGCTAAGTCTGTATGATTTTCTTCATCAAGTAAACCTAAATACTCAAGGGCCTTTACTCCAGAGTCCACAGCAGTAACTGCATATACATAACACCATTGATCAATATTCAAGAGTTTAATAATTAATGTCATTTAAGCAAGTGAGATTAATTTTGTGCCATTAATTAACTAACTAGGCAATGTACCTTGATAAGAAGAGGTCTTGAGAAGTTTCTCGATTAATTTCCGGTCGATGAGGCTGTCGTCGACCGCTAGTACGTGAAACGATTGCGCCTCCATGTCGGCTAATCCGGCCATTGTTAATGTTGTAGAGTATACACAGACAATGAAGAAGATGATGAGATGAGTGTATAGAAATTTAATTGATTTTGAGTTTGAAGGTAACAAAATGAGGTGTGTGTGTGTGTGTATATATTGTGTGCATATATTTGAATTTTGTGAAGAAGATTTGGACAGTTGGAAAAAAATAATATGAGAATCAGATATATAATCCCACCAGATATCATCCAGAATCTGCATGATTTTTAAAGTTGGATTTTTGAATTGCAAAACAGAGGAGAAAGTAAAATAGGCTCTCCATTAGTTATTAATTAAATGTCCTCTTTGACAATGCCAAGGATACTCACAAGTCACGTGAATTTTTATATTTTGTCCCTCACATTTTGTTCAAGTACATATCTTTTTTTAGAAGAGGGATTTATCGGTTTTGCTATGGAGTTATCGGATGACTCGGCTTATGAAATCATCTATTGTTATTAGCAAATGATGTATTGACACGTGTCGTGTAACAAATGCACATTGAACATGTGTCAGTACATAAAATTATTGATGGCTTCATAGAATTTCTGAAAGATTTAGACTGGTCTCCAATTGAGATCTTTATTTTAATTTTTATTTGAAAATATTATATTTGTAAAAAAATAATATTATATTTAGAAATATGCAATTTGACTGGTATAAGTATTGAAGAATATTTGTGTACGCATATGAGGGTCAATTTGTTAGACGGTTAGGTTATCTCATACGATAATTTGTTATACCTAATATGCGTGATTGGTTGTGTAATTTTTTTTGGTATCATTAGCAATATTTCACAATGTAATATACTAAATAAAATTGAGAAAATAGTCATTAACATTTCAGATTTCCATAAAAAATTGACCCACCGGAGTTCGAATCGCAATTACCTTACTTTTAAATTTTCAAACCTCGAATTGGATCAACTTGTAAAAACAATATTTGGAGTCTTTCAACGTAGATACTTCCGACACTCAAATCAGAATATAAAATGCAAATGATATTTTGTTCATCAAAGGAAATTTTGTCAGAAATTAAATCAAAAAAGACGCGCAACAACTAATTGGTCATTGTTTATCTAGAGAAATGCTCACCTACCCACGGTTGGTACATGTTAATATGCCCACCGTGTAGGTGACATGCACTCATTGGTGATGTATTTTTTTAAACATATTAATATCACCAATGAGTGCATGCCACCTACGCGGTGGGCATATTAACATGTGCCCACCGTGGGTAGGGGAGCATTTCTGTGTTTATCTAATCGTTAATTGTTTTTTCCTTTTTCTTAAAGAAGAAATAATTTTTTAATAGCTATTAATTGTAACTTGTGGATTGACATGGCCACGGCCTGGCTCGGCCCGACTCGACGTCCCGGTCCCCGCCCCGCCCGCAACCGGTCCGTAGGTTGCCGGTTCCGAAAATCGACACCGTGGCTTTACGAGTCGTTTTCGGGTCCTTTTTTTTTTTTTCCGGCATTCCGGGACAGGGCTGGTTCCACGGACTCGGCCCTTGATTTTTGGTGGGCGGTATAAAGGTCACCCATGGGAGGCTTGCCGGCCCGGTGGGTCGGACTGGGCCGTGGCCCAGCCCGTTGACTGGCCATGTCTACTTGTGGAGAGTGGAGTGGGTATTTTGATTACGCAAAATCAGAGAAAATAGGGAGTCTCTCCACTAGTCCACTTGCCAATGGCAGTGGCAATAACGTATATTTATTCCAAAAAAACATGACATGGAGAAGATTCGAAACAGATAGATCAACCTATCATCACGAGAGAGGCATATAATATCTCCCTCATACATATAAGAAAAAGTATGAGGGGTTGTAGGATTGACACGTGTCCTCTTTTGCCGATTAGAAATGTCCTTCAACAAGCTTCTTCCACACGCCATTTCACTCTCATCTTCTCGCCTCTGAATTTCTACCATAGAGACTGAAGAATTTCCACCATGGAGGCAGACGAAACCTAAAGCCGATGATTTTTTTTTTTTTTCATTTCTCTAAAATTCCAGCATAGAGGCAGACCCCAAAACCGATGACGAAAGAGAATCTCGAGCAGGTTCTTCAAGTAGCCGAAACTCGCCAGCGTGTCGATGTCGGGCTAGGGTTTTTGGGTGGTTCCTCTACACCCAGAGTGCCGCTGTGTAGCCGCCTTCCCTGTCTGATTTCTCGGTGCCCCGTACCCCGCGGAGTTTGCAGACGACCTTCAGGTCCTTCAGCGTGTCATACTCCCACGTGAGCTTCAAGCGCTCGGTCAGTGTCTCCGGCAGCTTGTTAGGGACGACATGGAAGAAGAAATCAAGGCAGGGGTTCCCCGTAGAGAGGAAGGTCGGCGATAAACTCTTCGTCAGAGACAGACAAGTTACCATCGTGGAGAAGAAGATTGGCGTGCCTGTGAGCGGTGGCAACTGGTAGCTTTTGGGCAGATGACAGACAACGTGACTACACGTTGCGGCGGTCTGCGGCTTGAATTCAGGTGGTTGGGGATTTTATCTTTAATTTAATTTTTTACTTTTTTTGGAACGGAACAAGTTGTCTTAACAGGGGTGTTCTCGGTCAAAATTGATTTCATCTTAGAAAACCATACCAGGTAACCTCAGAGGCTCTATCACTGGAAGAAGTGGAATTCGCCTCCAGCAATGAGCCGACCCGGCGTTCAACTTTGGCGAGCAAGGTTTGTTTTTCCACACCTATAATCTTTATTGGTTCTACCGTCGTTTGTAATTGAATGACAAGAAAGCAACTTGAAATTAAACCACTAAGTTCGATCTTAGTGTTCGCTGACTGCCTCTGGAAATCAAGTCTCAAGGATGGCCCCAAGGTTCCAGAGAAGGAGAAAATCACCCCCAGCAACTATGACACATGAGCCGACCTCGCATTCGTCTGTGGTGAGCCAATTTCTGTGTTCGTCTCCCTGTCTCTCTCAATGCTTGTTTGTGTGTGTGTCGATTTTTGTTTAAATTTATTGATTTTCTATTTGTTGCTGGTGGTTTTTTAGGATAAATTGCTTTGCAAACAAGATCTGTGACCCGGGGCCCACTGCGAGACGTACCTCGCAAACGACAATGTCATGTCGCGGTGTACTCGAATTCAGCCTATCAATCCTATTCCAAGGTTCATCTGTTATGAATAATTTGGTGTACTTTTGGTTTAATAATGTTATTGGGAATTTTTTTTAGTACCACATTCTCTAGGTTTTGGTTTTGGTAAGATGAAATTATAGTAAGTCATAGCCAAATTAAGTCCAAATTATATATAGCCGAGACATTTTTCACACAATATGTTTTCCACCCAAACATAAATCCAAATGAAAGAAGATCGTAAAGCTAAAATCGATTCAACAGACCAAATTAACATGGACTGCTTCATTGGCTCAGGGATCACAAACACCGGTGCCATGAAAATCAAGTCCTCGAAATTGCAGAGCTAAAGCTGAAACTTTCGATGAGGAATTCCTCTTTGTCGTGCTCTGGATTTCTTACTACGCTTTACTACTGCCGCTGTCGGTGCGGTAAGTTCATAGGTAAAGATTTATCCTCGCCGTTGCAGTAAAATTACATTTGTACATAGACTTGATGGTGAATGATGTTAACGACGGTGATTGTGTGCATACGAACGTGACTGTTTTTTTTATAGATGTCGGTTAAACAGTGATTATTCCAAAATTCGACGATAGTGGTGCCATTCTCTGCAGTGGCATTGTTAAACGGCTACATAAATTGTTTTCAAATGTAAATGTGTGGGGAATACTAGGCGTTGCAGTAACTACCTGTGTAGATAGACTTGACGGTGAACGATTTTTGACATCAGTGGTTGTGTGTAAATGAATGCGACTTTGTTTTTTACGTGCATTATTGATAATTCTGAAATTTGGAGAACATAATTCCAGTCTGCATGTCATGAATTATTTTTCAACAGGATTAGAATGTTAATGTGTGGCAAATCCTCAAAGGGTGGGTTGCTGCCAAGAAGATTGGAACCAAGTTATGAGGATTGATGGACTGAACAGAAAAGTACTTCCTTCATCTAAAAAACACTTTCTAAGTTCAATCGAACACAAAATTTGAAACAAGTGAATTTCTCATCTCTTCAACAAAAATCTCCTCAATACTTAGGAATAGTATCAGTCACGAGACATGTAAGCTCAAAACTTTAGGTGATGAGTGAATTTGTTAGAATATCGAAAGTGACATGCATTTGTTAATAACCATATTCACAAGATGACTGTTATTTTCAATCCTCCATTGATTTTTTTTTTTTTTTTTTT